TTAAAATTTACATATTATTTAGAAAAATTTTTTATTGTTGTTAATCATATTGGAAGTATTTTAAATTTGAAAAATTTTAAAATACAAAAATGAACTTTCACACCTGAACAAACACAATAAAAAAAATAAAGATAGAAAGAAATGACTAAAAAGTTTGATATTTCAGAAAAAACAATTAGTATATAGAAAAAATAAGTCAGAAAAGAGACAAGCTCATCATAAACATCAATTAGTAAAAATGTAGAAATAGTATTAAGGGTACAGTATATACGTACAAATATTATTAACAAAAATTATTTATTGTTATAAAATTCTAAAATGTAACTAGAATTAGCCTGTTTATCAAAATTACTAACAATTGTAGTCTTCTAAAAAAAATTTGTAATGCTGGGACTTAAACATAACTATTGTCTTATTTGTAAAGAATATTTCCCTTCAGTTACTTTAAATAATCAAACTGGTGCTTGCGATAAATGTAGTAAAGACAAATTGATTCAGAAGATTTTCACCAAAGAATGATAAATATCCAGGTATGTAAAAAAAATATATGTAGTATTAATATAAAGAGGAGGGGGATATTGTGGCAAAGTTAAAATATTTTTGATCATAACACATTGATACTATGATCAAAGTTGAATGATTTTGACATTATCTGATTCGCCTCATCGAGCTGAGTCAAATGATACCAAAATTATTCAGTTCTAATTACTGGGCTACAAAATATTTTAATTTGATTAAATATTTAGTTGTGGGAGATATTATAGTGAATTAAGGATATTTTGTGTTCTCATAATTAGAACAAGATGAAATTTCAGACAAAATTTATGTCATTCGATTCCTTTCAATAAGAGAAATCGAATAGTATAAATTTCATTCAGTTCTAATCATGGGAACACAAGATATCCTTGATTCATTACAATACTTCTTTGTGTTTAATATTATAGATAGAAATAATAATATGACGAATTGGGATTATCTCATGATCCTGTAATCAGAATCAGATAAAACTTACACTATTCAATTCCTCTCAGCGAGTAGAATCAAATGGTATAAATTCTATCCAATTCTGTTTATTGAATCCCAAGATAATCTGATTTACCATAATGCCTCTCTTCACTATAATACCCCCCTCTCTCTTATATTAAAATATATATTTGCAAATTTAATAAATATTTTATTTTAAAAGTACCTCAGCTTAGCCAAATTAAAAAAATGTTAACTGTTTTTAATTTTCAAGATGTTCAAAATTTATTACAAATTTACCTCAGTTCTAGCTGCAATTAATACTTTAGTAGTTTGATAAACTGAATAAGATTGTACTATATTTTATAACTTTAAAATAAAATATGGGCTTGGTGCTACAGAAAAGGAGGAAATCGACAAATTTTCAAAATATTTTTTTTTACACAACTCAATTTAGAATAATGTTAGGATCAATTTTTTACTTAAAATATAAAAAAAGTTTTATTAATAAAATTTTGTAATATAGCTCTTTAAAGTTTGTATTTTTCTATGATTTATTATAAAATTTATAATATAAAAATTGATCTTTTAAAGATCTTTTGTTTTGTCGATTTTCTCCTTTTCTGTAGCACCAAGCCTATATATAAATAGCTTAATATGTCTTGCTTGGGCAATTACAATTCATAAGTTTATACTCTAATTGATCTACTTTTTGATACTGCCTTTTTTGACAGATTACAAAATTAGAATAAAAATATGTAATTATAATAAAGACTAATAGAAAAACAAAGATTGCTTTCTTTATAAATTTATTATTAATATAATTCTAAAAGTTAAAGACAATTATAAAATTTTAAATCTGATTTTAATAATTAAAGCCTAAGAATTAGGGCTTTTGTCCACAAAATGCCACTGTTTTTCTAGTAATAATGCTCATATCATAAACCACAGCAAATTAAATGTGCATTTCATGACTGTTTGGAAAAAAACTATTCTAATTAATAATATATATGTATAAAAAGAAACTAAACCCATTGTATACTCACCTATAATTATTAATAATAGATTAACAATAATGTCACTAAATTTATTTTTTTTGTAACTCAAAATTCACATAGTATATGTTTCAAATTATTAATTTATTAAAAATAAAAAAAAAGAAAGAAAACATTCTAATAAATTATACTTTAAGGAAATTACTCCATAATTATTAAAAAAATGTTTAACAATGATGCTACTATGCTTATTTTGTAAATCTAATCTTCACTCACAATATGCCAAGACAAATACACTTCCTACTACTATTAAAAAAAAAAACCTCCTATTAAATTATACTTTAAAGCATTTATTTATAATTATCAATAATATGTTTAACAATAATGCTAGTATACTTATTTCATAAACCTGATCTTCACTCAAAACACATCAAAATGAATACACATACAAAGAATTTATCCATAATTATCAATGATATGTATAACAGTAATGCTACAATGCTAATTTCATAAACCTGATCATTGCTTACAATGCATCAAATCAAATTTTCTTTCTCTAACAATCAAACAAAAGAAACCTCCTATTAAATTATACTTTAAGGGATTAATCAAAAATTTCTAATGAAATGTTTAACAATGACTGTACTTATTTTGCAAACTTAATTTTTGTTCACAAAACATCAAATCATATACACTTTTCACTATGATTATTTTTTTAAAAAACCTCTAATTATAGAAAACTTTAAGCATGTTTTATCTATAATTATCAATTAAATGTTTAACAATAATGCTACCATACTTATTTCATAAACATGATCTTTGCTCACAATATATCAAATCAAATATGCTTCCTACCTTTACAATAAAAAAAAAACTTGATATATTTAACAATAATACTACCATGCTTATTTTGTAAACCTGATCTTTGCTTACTCAAGTGCACTTCTTGCTATGATTAAAAAAATATCATATTAAATTACACTTTAAGAGCATCTATCTATAATTATTTATAAAATATTTAACAATAATACAACAATGCTTATTTCATAAACATGATCTTCGCTCACAATACACCAAGTTAAATGTGCTTCCAATTAAGATTAAAAAAAATAAATAAAACTACCTATAATTATACTTTAAGGTCATTAATCCAAAATTATCAATGATATGTTTAACAATAATGCTATTATTCTTATTTTGTAACCCTGATCTTTGCTCACAATACATCAAGTCAAATGCGCTTTCTATTAAATTAACAAAAAAAAATCCTCCTAATAAATTATATTTTAATTATATTTATCTATAATTATTAATAATATGTTTAACAATAATGCTACCATGCTTACTTCATAAATATTAGCTTCGTTCATGATAGATCAACTCAAATGTGCCTCCCACTATGATTAAAAAAAAACCTCCTATTATAAAATATTTTATATGCATTTATCTGCAATTTCCCATAAACAACCATTTTCTATTAGATAAAACTAATTAAATCACTGATCAAGATAGCTAAAATTTCAATAAAAACATAATAATGATAAATTATTTCAAATATTTCTTTACAATATTTAATACTAATGATTACAGCCAACAAATATCAAAATCGCTAACCTAATCTTTATTTTTAGAAACTATTACCTGTAAAGATTTTATAAGTAAAAAAATAAAAACTAGCATTTACTATAACTTGCTTAAACATTAAAAGATCATTCTATTATATTAATCTATCGATTATTCGTTTTAAAATATTTGAATACTAAAAACAAAGTGACTAACTTTTTCGACCAGTTTAAAATTTTTTGAGAATTAACTGTTTATAATACTTGATATATAAAATACGTAGATCTAATGCAGTGATGTTTAGATGACCTTAATTAAAAGAAAATTTCTGAAGAAAAAAAAAAGATTTATATCATGCTTATTTATTCATCAAAAAGGTAACGCATTTGGTTAATCTATTAAATTTCTAACTAATTAAAAATTTAAATTTACTACCGATCCGTTAAGTAAAGTGCTTGAAAACATCCTTGCTCAGTATAGCAATATTTTTAAATTTTTATCTGTATCTATATTCAATATTCTTGGTATAATTAGTTTAAATGAGAATTTATAAAAAAAAACTTTTGTCAACCAACAAACCTCAGAAAAAAATATCAAAAAGAAGCTCCTAGCGTATGAGCAAGCATATAACTAGTTAACTTAAATAAATACATCAAATTACTAATACTAAATACTATTTTTTTTTCTTTAAAAACTAAAACTACACCCTTATACGTATATACAGTGTATGAGAGTTTAACTATATAAAATGATAATGATAAAATAATGACACTAAAAAAATTATATAATACTAGTGATTTACCTGACTAGCCATTACTATAAGTATATGATATTGATGTTTTAGTAGTCATATTGCAGCGGGCAAAGTTTTATTACTACCAATGCTGTATACATACAGTATTGGTAAAAAAGCCTGCTACAGAATTTACTCGCAAATCTAGTGACATGCTGGTAAGAGCAAAAAGTTGAGTTAGTTTATACTGAATTCAATTAGCATAAACAATTTTGTTATACACAAACCTATTTGACGAATAATCTTTTTCCTTTCTAAGACGAACTTCTTCACGATGTACGAGCTCTGGTTTATTAAAAAAAAAGCAATTGTTTGTAAAAACTATAATTTATATTTTTTTTTTATTGTCCAAATTAAAAAAAAATAAGAACCTTCAGCACGGTGCCTTTCTTTCTCTTCTTCTTTTCTCATAGCTTCCTCTTCTGCTTCCTTTTTTCAATCTTTCTTCTAATTTTGCTAAAAATATTTGACGTCTCTTTTCCTTTTCTTCTTCAATTTTGGCTTGAGCAGCTTTACGGCATCGTTCAAATTCTTCATATCATTTATTTTCAATCTCCTTTCGACATTGTTAATAATTTGGTAATATTCTCTTAAGTCTTTCCTTTAATTTAAGATCTTCATTATGTTTAGAGAAAGATATTTCAAGTTGTAATTTATGAGCAGCTTCATGATAAGCTCTATCTTTGTTATTCGTAATCTTTTTCTAGAAGAGGAATTTCTTCTTTATGATAGGCATGTTCAAGATGATTCATATGTTTAGCTGTAGCTCTGAGACGTTCATTAAGTTCGTGTTTTTTCTTTTCAAGCCATTCAACTTGGAGTCTAACAATCTTGTCTGAATCCAATTATCCAATTCCTTAATGATATAATTATATATATTATTATAATCGTCTAAATCTAGATTTATAGTTTAAGCTGTTAATTTATTCTTATCTCTGGTTCAATTTTTAGATTTTGAAGTTTAAGCATTTCAGCCAATTTTTGAGTTTTCTCTTTTTGAATGCTTCATGATTACATTTCCTCCTCTCTTGTTCACGTTTTTTTGCCTTCTTGATTTGACGTTGTCTAAGCTCTTCATCTTTTTGTTTTTTAAGAAAAGCTTATTCACACTCCTCTTCTTTCGCTTTACGCATTAACAATGTGTCTACTAATGCTCTTCGTCACTCAATAATAGTTTTAAGAGCAAGTGCATTATTGTGCTCTTCTTCCATCCCAGTGAAAGTACTTGCACTTTAGCATTTTGTTTGTTTCAATGATAGTAGAATCTATCATATGAACGGTTGTATAAAAACATTCGAAAGTTGATTATGCATCTTATCTGCGGTGAAGCTTGTATGTAGTTAAGGTTGAGCTTGCAGTAAAACTATTGTGATTTCTACCATGATTGCTATAAAAAATCCTCTTATAGAACATAATTGTTATTCTGATGACATGTAGTATGGGTTAAGAATAAGTTAGTATGCGTTAAAATTATAAATGAGTTTTATTATAAGATACAATAAAAAACACTATACTTACTTTTTATTATAATAATACAGTATGAGTTATTGATGTGATAGTTAAGGTAGAGAATGCTAAAATTCTAAGCTTTGTAAAAATGCTTCAGATCAAAGACTTCCTTATAAGCTTCATTTCTACTGTAGTAAGAATCTGAAAGTAAGCATAATCTATTAATATCTATTTAATGTAAAATCATAAGTAAAATTCTTAAATAAAAGATAGATTAACCTTCTATAGTAGTTTTTTCTTGGGATTATATTCACCAAATAATTTAACTATAATAATTTCATAGAAATACGTGTTGTTATAAAATTGATTATGGTATACAATTTATACAAAGGAAATAATAAAATACCAGTTGATTTTAGATTTTTTGCTAACTTTATCAATTTTTTAGACTCTTTTAAATTCATGTCATTCATAACCGAATTGATTAAAATCATTTATTTCCAACTTTGAAAAGAATAGAATAAGTTTCTATTAAAATATATCAAAAACACAGAAGTGTTGAATAAATTACGAACCATTCTTGCACTATGATCTATACGTATACTACTATCAGTGCATAATCTAATCGTTCAAGGATGAGGTAGTTCTCCTAAACATAAATATATTAATTATTCATAATTCTTTCTACTGTAAATATATAGAAATAAATATATTTATTTACCAATATGATATAAAAATATACCCGTACTGTAAAAATAAGGTATAGGTAAAATAATAGTTGAGGTTTGGTTAGGAATTATTGTAAGTAAATTGGTTTGTCTATAGTAAATAGTTAAAGGTTACAGAAAAAAATTTTAGTAAAGAACATACTCATTATTTTGGTGACATGGATTTACATATTGTGAGGTAGTATTTTGTTATTTGGCATGTAGCAAAAAGTAACGCATTACATTATTCTTGCGTCTACTGTATTTGAAAGTAAGCCAATAATATTCTTACGATTTATGGTTACACAATTTAATCAAATTAATTTATATGGGTAATCTAAATGTTATCGTTATATACAAATTTTTTTATTATATAGTTATAGATATATATTAAGTATTAAAATTAATTTCTTATTTAATACTTGCTTTTAAAGTATTTAAATTAATTACTTATTTAATACTAATTAAAATAAATACTTGTAAAGTATTTAAAATTAATATTTATTTTGTATTAGACTATAATAGTAAATAGATACTTGTAGTAATTATAAATAAATGGGGTAAGTCAATAGAAATCAAGCAAATTTTTTATAATAAAATTTTTTTATAACTTTAAACAAGAATAACTTAACAAAAACTT